CAGTGAGTGTTATCTCAAATCAGGTAATTCCCCAAAATATTCTCAATTCCCATATAATGCCTGTTCTCACAAACGCTTTACTCATTTTCAACACAACTTCTAAACTTTTTGATGAGTTTGTAGTTCCAATCAGTAGTTATTATTAGAGATGTTTTTATGATAGATATTTGTACAAGTGTCTTTAAAAGTCATATACACTTTATATTTCTACATTTATTCATCTCATTTAACTCGCTTCACATCAACTATTTATTCAATTTCAATTCATCGCTTTTATTCAATCGTCTTAAATTTCATCCTAAGTTTTTTAAATTGTTTTTGCAATAGTTTTCATATAAGAAGTCTTCACAACGAGATATTGAATTTGATTTAAAGTTCTTGGATTTGATTTAAAGTGAAAGTAAAAGCAATTAAATAATGCCTTCAAAGAAGATAATAATAACTGAATTCGACGCTTACAATGAGGTAAGAGTAGTGATAATATAGTACCTGATTGTGAGAATAGGTGTCAATGATTAGTGTTTGGCATATAAATAGCGCATAGAATTCGGGAACAAATACATTATGAACAAAGAGCCAGCGCTAAGGAAAGGGCACTGGAGTGCGGGTTTGGCATCATTACTGACTTTCACTCATTTGAAAGACAAAAAAGAGAAAACAAAAGCTCCTAAATGTCAGGAAAGAAGTTACGATCAAATGAAACTGAGTTTAAGTCACGAAAATCCGGCACTCAGTAAGAGTTTGAGTTCAGAATCCATAAGAATTCCGAACCAAACCCTGTTTATTGACCAACGAATCGATTCGCCGCTAAAACTGTCCAAAAGTGATAGCATTGACACCATATCCGATGATTATAAGAGTGATATCATCAGCGATATGTCTGCTTCTGGCTCTCACACCTCGGAGGACTCTTCGAGTATGTCTTCGTATGAATGCGAATCACTTGCCGACACAAATGAGAGCCACAATTGTGAGACCGTTCGTGTGATTCAACGATTTGGCGGTGGATTTCAGGACAGCTGTCTCTTCCCATTAGCTCTGACTCTGGATTTGAGTGATTTGACTAAAGGAAAGGTGACCTGGGATACTATCAACAGTAAAGCTGATCTGACACTCAGTAAATGGT